TCCCCCCCGTGTGCTGTATGCCCCCCTGTGTGCTGTGTCCCATGTGCTGTGTCCCCCTGTGTGCTGTGTGTCCCCGTGTGCTGTGTGCCCCCGTGTGCTGTGTCCCATGTGCTGTGTGCCCCCTGTGTGCAGTGCGCCCCCTGTGTGCAGTGTCCCCCCACGAGTCCTGCTCTGTGACAGAGCACCTGGGGCGCTGTGAGGCTGTGTTCTTGTTCTTTATCGGTTAAGGGATTACACGTGTGTCCTTATCCCCTCGTTGCCCCCCCCCCCCCCCCCCCCCCTATTGTCCTGCCTGCCACCTGCCGTGGCTTCGGGTCTGAGCAGAGGGCAGTGTACAGGGCAGCAGGGGCGTCCTTGCAGGCCTCAGTGTCCCTGCCTGTCAGGTGGGGGTGGCGGGCCTGCGTGTGGAATTAGGTGGGCAGTAACGGCCTGACTAAGGACCGCCCTCATGGCCGGGTGGGGGGGCGCGGGGGGCGCGCGGCGGGAGAGAGGCGTGGGCTCCTCCCAGAACCGCACACGGGTCTTCTGGGCCCCAGAGGCCAGCGTCGCTCCAGCTGTCACCTGAGAGTGGGCGTGTCCAGCAGGTGCAGCCCCACCAGCAAAAGGGGGGTGCTCGGTTTCAGGAAACACCCTCAGCACGCGAGGGGCCCGTCACGAGCTGCCAGTAGGAATGGCAATGCCCCCTGTGCCCTCACTGCCCCTGGGCACGCGCCTCCCGCGTGGGCAGCAGTGGGGACACCATGTCAGGCCAGGCCCCAGAACCTCTCAAGCCATCTTCCTGTGGCAGTGGCTGTGGCCGTGGCTGTGGCCGTGGCCTGTGACCTGTGACCCGCGCCCTCCCTCCAGTTCCTTGGCTGGAGGCTCAGGATCCAGGAGAGGACCCCAGGGCCGTGGGCGGCGAAGGCCGAGGGGAAGGGGCTGGTGGAATGACAGCTCGGGGATGGGCCTCCTGGTTAAGCCGCTGAGGTTTGGGGGGCTTGTTAACAACCAGACTGTCCGAGTGCACCCTGTTTTCCACATGAGGTCTTGGGCCGTCCCCGAGCCGGGGGTCCTGCGGGAGGGGCCGGAGCTGTCTCAGTGTTGACCTGAGTCTCATCTGATGGAGCAGTTGCTTTTGTGTTTTCCCAGTGGCCGCCAGGCACCCAGATGTCCGTGGGGATGCGGAGTTGGGAGGACAGGAGTGAATGGGTTTAAACCGGCTGAAGGGGTTACGCTGCGGGGAGGAGGGTAGGATATGTCACGCGCTGTGGCGACCTCTGGGGGGAGCCGGTGCGCTGAATGGAGCGGCCTCCCCTCCGCACAGGGAGGTTGAGGCTCTGCCTCCACGTTTCCGTGCGGGGGTGGGAGGGCACTTCGCGTGGGACCCCCTTCCTGGCCGGGTCCTCGGGCTCTGCATGGGGGTCTGTGCGCCTCTGCCGTGGGGGTACTCCAGCGTGCTCCCCCCAACCATGGCACAGGCTCGGGGAGATGGGTTAGCACACCCACTGTGGGGGGGGGGGTGTAGGGCAGACATTTTTATCTTCGGATTTTCCGTTTTTGAGGATGATTCTAATGATTTTTGGGGATGTTATAAAATAGCCTAAAAGGACAGTAAACTACCTAGATGGCAGCCACGCCCTGGCCAGGGTGGCTCAGTTGATTGGCCACCGCTCCGAAGGTGGCGGGTTCAGTTTCCGGTCAGGGCACATCCCCAGGTTGGGGGTTCGATCCCCAGTTGGGGTGCGTGTGGGAGGCAACCTATCAATGTTTCTCTTTCACAGTGACATTTCTCTCCCTCTCTCCTTCCCTCTAAGATCAATAAAAAACAAACACAAACAATGTCAGATGCATTTAAGAACATTCACAATGGCCAGAAGGCCCGCCCACGGTGACTGGGCAGGTCAAGGTGGTCTGTGCTCACCCGGGTGTTACTCAGCCACGAAAGGGAAGGAACTAACTACCTGCCACCACACGGGCGAGCCCGAAACACGGTGCTGAGCCAGAAGCCAGACACAGAGGCCACAGTGTGTGCTTTTGTGCACGCGAAACACTGCACGTGCAGAACAGGCGAGTCCAGAGACAGCAGAGCTGGGCGGGGAGGGAGGGGGGTGGCGGCTGAGGGATCGGGTCTCCTCTGGGGCAATGAAAAGGTTCTACGACCAGAGAAAGAGGGTTGGACAACAGTGCGAATGTACCACGTGCCACTGACTTGCTCACTTTAAAATGGCTCATTGGCCTGGTCGGCCATTGACCTATGAACCAGGAGGTCAGGGTTCGATTCCCAGTCAGGGCACAGGGCTGGGTTGCGGGTCTCGATCCCCAGTGGGGGGTGTACAGGAGGCAGCCGATCCATGATTCTCCCTCATCATTGATGTTTCTCTCTCCCTCTCCCTTCCTCTCTGAAATCAATAAAAATACATATTTTAAAAATGGTTAATTGTATGTTATGTGACTTTCACCGCAGTAAACAAAAGGGTTTGGCATCTGGGGAGGTCCTTTCGGGGAAGCGCCGCGTCCCTGGCGGTCACAGGGCGGGGACGCTCCGCGGCTGAGCGGAAAGACGCTCGGCCGTCTCCAGGGGCTGGTGTTCGAGGCCCAGCTCGGAGCCCACAGGTCCCTTTCCCTGGACCCGAGGGCCAGGCCGTCCTCAGAGGCCGTCCGCTCCGCCTCCTGGTGGTGGACAGGACACTGTGTCCTGGGGTCACTCCCGTGGTGGCCCCGGCGTGAGGTGTGGGGGTGGGTGATGGGTGGCAGGGACTGTGGGGCCAGGGTCGGCTCTGGGCTGAGCTCCGGTGGGCGGGTTCGAGGCCCACTCACACCCACTCAGCTGTGCCCTGGCTGGCGGCCGGGAAGGCCCCACACCCAGCTTGGTTCCCCGTGGGCCTGAGTCACCCGGGGGCCGGCAGAGTAATCCTCCGAGTGGACTTCCCGGAAAAGCTCCAGCCCTCGGGAGAAAGGGTTCCCGGAGCCGAGTCAGCCAGCAGCAGGCCGACAGCCCAAGGGGGACGCGGGCCCCCCGCCCTGAGGGAGCCGAGGGAGAGTCAGGGCGGGAGGCGCCGGGGGACACCAGCCCTTGAACGCAGGAGCGGGCTCTCCAAGGTGAGGCATTGTCACCGGGTTTATTGGTTTATTTATTTATTTAGCATTTTTCTAAACATATTTTTATTGATTTCAGAGAGGGAGAGGGAAAGAGAGAGAGAAACATCAATAATGAGAGAGAATCATGGATCGGCTGCCTTCTGCACGCCCCCCACTGGGGATTGAGCCCACAACCCAGGCATGTGCCCTGGACCGGAATCGAACCTGGGACCCTTCAGTCTGCAGGCCGACACTCTATCCACCGAGCCAAATGGGCCAGGGCTTTATTTAGCATTTTAATAATAATTTTATTTACCCCATCTATCTGAAGTATATTTTGATGTGGAAATACAATCAATAGATCCAAATTAATACATATAAATTGATTCTATTCACATGTACTAATTTGGATTTATTGATTATACTTCTATTGATTACATATCATATCTATAATAATAAAAGTGTAATATGCTGATTAGACCAGACGTCCTTCTGGATGTCCTTCCTTCCAGACAAAGCCACCCTGGGCGGGGGGGCGGGGCCAAGGCCCTTGCATGAATTTCGTGCGTGGGGCCTCTAGTACATACATAGAATGA